AAAAAAAAAAAAAAACACTCGCTCTCAACCCGGCAGCAGCTCCGGAGGAGCCATGTGGCATCAAGCCACCGCAAAGGGGAAAAAAAGTGCTCTTAGCAACACAAACATGGCGAAATAGCTCCGACATGCCCATTTCACGCAGCAACCCTACCTTCCTTCGCTCGCCCGCTGAGCATCCTGGCCCGCAGCCGCAGGCCCCTTGCGGGGGGCGGTAAGGGGGCCCCGGGGAGTGCGAGGGTGGACGTCAAAAGAGTCCACCGGGAAAATAGCTCAGATGACGCGCCAACCCATCTGCCTCACCAGGAGTGCGGGGACGCCTTTTCCACCCCCCAAGGTGGGAGTAGAGCACCAAATCCTGTCCCCGAGTCTTGCTGGACCCGTTTTCCCCACCCCAAAGAACTTACCTTGAGGCTGAACACTGCACCGCTTTGCTCTCTCTTCTGGTTCCTTCCTCCGGAGCGAGGAGGAAAATGATGCGCACGTAGATTCCGAGAGCGTATTCTTCTAGAATTTTCCCAGGATGGTGGCGGGGAGCGATGGAGACTCTGAGACAGGTGCCGGGCTGCCGATTAAAAGTTGCTCTGCGCACGGTGGGCGACAGGGTCCCCGGAGCGGGCGGAGGACCCCCACTCCCTGCCCCCGGCGTCGCCCACTTGTCACGCCAGGCTGCTGCGTGCGCTCGGCTGCAGAGGAGGTGGCGTAGTTTCTCTTTCTCCCACCTTCTCACTCACTTGTTTTGTAGCCGTGGGCTCCCCTAATGCTTTCCTCTCTACAATGTTGTTTCATTATATCATGTCCATCATGTGACACCGGAGAGGCCTCTCTATGGAAACTTAAAGGGGCTCCCACGTGACTGCAGCAGCAACAACAGCGGCAGGACCGGCGGCGGCGGAGGCGGCGGCAGCGTTTGTACCACCACCCACCGGGAGCCCCTCGAAGCATCCCGAAGGGGCTTGTGGCGTTGCAAAAACCCAGATAAGGGAGCCACTGCATCCGGGAGCTATGGCGTCGGTGCGTGCGTGGAGTCAGTGCTCATTACACAGCAAGCGGAACAGGAGCGTCCTTAAATCCTTTCCTGCAGTCACCAAGCCCACGCTCTGTTAAAATGACATTTCGTGGTTCCTACTTTATTTTCCCCCAAGAGCTGTGAGTTCCCTATCAGGCCTGATTAAATTTTACAAAGTCAAAAAGAAAAAGCCAGATTTGTCCTCTCAGTGAGCTCACTCGCAGATCGTTGGTAGAACAGAAATGCCCAGAAAATAACAACAACCAGAATCGGGCATTTGGTCCATAATTCCCATCACTACCAGCTTCAGAGCTTTCTGGAATTACATTCTCCCGGTAACTGTTGATGATGCTCTCAAGAGGCAAAATGCAACACAGTTTTTCTCTTCCGCGGCTATATTGGGGCTTTGTTGCTGACAACAGTAAAAACTTGTTTGTGTCAGGAAGTGAGGTATGAAGCCATGACCTGTAAGGTACAGATGAAACCAAAGTGGCAGTTTGGGCACTACTTTTCTGACCACATTCTTCCAAATGGTGACAAGATGACTGCTGTCAAATGCGCGTTTGGTTGCAAATAAGATGATCAGGAAAACATGCTTATCCCTTAATCATACTGTACATGCTACACACTAGAAATTATATATACATATATCTGCATGCGTGTGGACAGAGCGCAAACATGCATTTTCACGACATTCTAAACCACTCATTCTGTCCCCACTGCTAGCATTTAACTTAAGTATTAACGTTTAAAGGCTTATTCGTGTCTAGTGACATACAGAAACTAATAGTTAGAAGTACTTAGTCTTACTGACTTGCAATGTATGTGTGTGTGGGGGGGTCTACTTCAAATCGCAATTCTCTGTCTCTAAATTTTTATGTACCATGGAAATATCCTATAAATAAATTATGATAAATTGCTATTTCTCTGTTGGTTCACGCTTTTCCATCTTTATAAGAGAAACTAGGTTGGCAGGATTGTGAGAAAGAGAACACTAAGTCAGTACCTGAGGAGTGGGATGGTCTGGCCTTAATTGTTCATGTTTCTACATCACTTAGAAACGCGTTAGACCCCCTCTAATCCTACTAACACCCAACCCTTTGGCCTTCCAACCTCAAGCCTAATACTTTCATCCTTTTAACCCTCTTTTGCCTGGACCTCCCAGCTCAGGCCTTTTGCTTATGTACCCAGCTCAGGCCTTCCCAAATGCTTAACCCCACTACCACCAGCAGCAGGAGCATCTGGTTCTCTCTCAGCAACCTTACCCCCTTACCTCTCCTTGACCTCCTTTAATCTCCTCCACACCCTGGCCCTTGACTTCACAGACTCTTACCTTTCTTCACCTGAAATGGTGCCTGCCCTTTACTGGGGTCTCCTTTTCCCCTCCTTTCTGGTCCCATCCCTTCTGCGGGCAAGCCCCAGGATTCCTCCACGGCTCGGCCTGGTCAGCTTGAACCACATTTTGTCGGCTTGCCCTGGCCAAAGAGGGAGTTTATGGTGCAAAGTGGGTCCAAGACTACCCCTGGGTTAGACCCCTGCCTTGCCCCATCCGCTCCTCCCAAGCCCTGGTTGCGGCGCTTCCTGGGCGGATGGTTTGGACTTGCTGCTGCAGCTGCGGTTCTGCTGTGTCATGCAAGAAGGAGGCGGCGGCGGCGGCGGCGGCGGCGGCGGCGGCCGGAGCTGAAGGGGGAGGAGGGGAGGAACCTGATCCTCGGTAGCGAAGGGCTGGAGGCAAACACCGAGCTCCCCCTCAGCCGCCTGGGAGCAGGGAGGGTTCTGCTACCCTGAGGGGCCCTCCCCGCGGGGCAGAGGGTAAGTGGGGCGGCGCAGGTGGTCGCCTTGGGAAGGGAGCGCGCAGGGGGGTTAGGTGGGACAGTGGGACCACTAGGAGCTACCTGGGCCCCGAGGAGTCAAGTATCCGACTAATAAGAGCCCAGGCCATAGAAGAGGTGGTCTGTCAGTAGCAGCAAGAATAACTACTTGCCTAATGACAGTTGTCCCTAGCCACACAGTGGGTGGAGTTGTAGATCCCGAACTCAGGACCCAGCTAGAGGCAATGATTCACGGTTGCAGGAACTTAATCCCAGCAGCCCTGGCGCTGTAGGACACCCTTGAAAAGCAAAGCCAACACACCCCAGGTTCCTCTAGCCTTTCTGGACTTTCTGGGTTGTCTTCTTCAAATCTAGGGGAAAGGCTGGGAAACCGGCCCAACCCCACTTTAGCCACAAAAATAACGCTCTTGGCCAGTGGCCCTGGACAAGCAGCCTCTGGTGCAATTAAACAATCAATAGGAAAAAGCCCACCCTCCACCCTCCTCCCAGGCTCCTTCGACCAAGGTAATTCATGGGGCTTTAAGGAGAAAGAAAATGTGATATATTTGCCCAATCCACGCCGTCAGTCAGTCTGCCACTACATAAATGGCCACCTGTACACTCCAGGGTTCATCCTGCCTTCAGAGGGATGCTTCTGAGAGACACAACAATACTACTCCAGGTAGCAAGAGGAGACCACCTACATACAACTCCCGACAATTTCCCCTCCATTGCCCTTTTCCTCCCAGGGGAATTGGAAACCTAGACCTGAGAGCAATGAACTGTGGGGACATGCTGGGCGCATAGGGACATTGCTCTTTTCACCTGCCCGCAGTTCTTAGGACAGCCATTATTATCATCATCATCATCATCATCATCATCATTATTATTTTATATTCTTTTCCATGTCCCTCCCGGAAATCTCAGGAAGCACTTTCTGAAACGTTTTAATGTCAGCCATACATTTAGAAGTAGGGGCTGAGGGGATTAACGGAAAGGCTAATGACTGTCTCAAAAGCACATGCGGTTGCTAGGGAACTCAGGCTCATCCAGCTCTCTAATCACCAGTGTGTTACAGGGAAATCAAACTGCTCGGGGTGTTATTAAAATGAATGGCATTTGGTTAAAGGCTTCTTTGCTTGTGTTGTAGCATCCTGGATTATTATCGATTGCCTCACACCCACATACCTTGTTTTCCTAATTTGATTTCTGTATCTGCGTCACTGCCAGGGACACTCAGACTAGACCAGTCAGGTTCACTTCCTGTTTCTCAGAACTGGTTTATATTTGGTCTCTGTGCTCTAGCTGGTAAGACATTATCACGCTGGTCCTCTTGGAAAGGAATCTTTGCTTCCCGTTGACAACAAATTATCCCAATTAAATGCTAATTCTCGTGGAAAACGTCATTGTAGGAGGGTTAAGGCACTGCCAGGCTACTTTATTAGAGAAAGCCATTCTTGACACGTAAAGCCAAGAAAAGCCCATTCCTCCCCCCCAACCCTACCCCACCCCAAAAAATATTCATTCCTCAGCTTTGGAACTAAAACAAACTCAAGAAGTGAAAATATTTAAGTATGATACTTCCAAAATGAAGCATAAAAAAGTACACATTGAAGCTGGAGGAATCATTTGACTAAATAAGGCATAGAATTGAATTCGTTCCAGGCCAGGAAGGACAAATAAGCATGGGTTAGCATTGTGGCCCTGGGAGTACAAAGTGTGATTGCAAGGCTACTTTGCAAATAGCAAATCCCATCACCTTGTGAACTGAATGTCTCTTTAACTGATTCCCCTTTGTCCCTGATAAGGCAGCCTTGCTTTTTATATTTTTGCTTCGAGTTCCTTCCTCTTTATAACAAGAATATCGCCAAGGCAATAGCAGAAAGATAAGACTATGTAAATAAGCGGGTTCTGATGGAGATAATTTGTTTGATGAGAAATAGAGCACATATGGCATTGAAGAAGGATTGGTTTCCACTTCCGTGCATGGGATGAGCTCAGGCAGCCATCTTGGGTCTTGGCATGTCTGCATCCTTATGGAAGCTTACTAAAAGATCTCAACGTTGATTTCAATTCTGATTTTCAGCTGCTAGAGTTTTTAATGTGGATTGATGTTTTGCCTACATGCCAATCTGTGTGAGAAGACATGTATACCTGCATAAGGGTGTCAGATCCCCTGGAACTGGTGTTACAGACAGGGGTGAGTTGTCATATGGGTTCTGGAAATTAAACTAGGGTTCTTTGGAAGAACAGCCAATATTCTTAGCCACTGAGCCATCTCTCCAGCCCCTAGCTTGCTCTGCCTTTCTTTCTTTCTTCCTTCCTTTCTTTCTTTCTTCCTTTCTTTCTTTCTTTCTTTCTTTCTTTTTTCTTTTCCTTCCTTCCTTTCTTTTTTTCTTTGCATTCAACCTTTAATGCCTAACTGTAAAGATTGGGGGGGGGTGGAGGCAAGGTGTTCACGTAAAAGGTAATTTATTGTTTATACATTGAGTTTTAATGTTAGTTGCCACATGAGTAAGATCTACCTTGTTTCCTGTGCACTTCTCGCTTCACCTTGTAGTGGTATAGAAACAATAGACTAAAAGGAATGAAAGTCTGTGAGAGTAGCCGAAGGCCTTGCAGTTACTCTAGATGTAGTCAACCCCTAACACCTCTGTCAGCAAAGTGATGGAGGAAGGGTATGCAAAAAACGGTTACCAGTTGAATTCTGATGGGGCAAAACATCTATCTGTTCATGTTTTAATTAGCAACAGATAGAAACACACCCAGTTGTAATTTAGAACCCCCTCAAATTCAACATATTCAAAAGAATAGTGTGGAGAAATATGAGATTTGTGCCGGAAAGAAAAGTCCTGACTTTGAAACCCAACTCGTGTTACTCAATTCATTATTGAATGCTTGCTGTGGCCCTAGAAATACAAAGATAAATAAAACACGGCCGATGGCCTGCAGGATCTTCCATCATGAGGAGACACATGAAAACACAGTCGGTCATACAGTAGTGAGATAACATCTACAAGAGAGCTCAAAGGAAGTGCTTGGCTGCAGAAGTGAGTAAACCAACCAGAGAAATACAAGAAAGAGAGGGATATTACAGATCCACCCCACCCAAAGAGCTGTGTGTCAAGAATTTAAAGTGAAAAGGCACACTCACAGAGCTGAGCCTAGAGGGTGATGTCCAACAAAGTATGAGATGCTCCGCAAATATTTACAGTGTAGGATTGCATAGCAGAAGTCTGGAAGGATAAACAGGCTTCTGTGTAGTGAAAGGCTTTGTCTTTCTAAGAAGTTTGGGCTTACTCTAAAGACAGTGGAAAGCTGTTGGTTAATTTTTAAAATATCTATCTATCTGTTTATTTATTTATTTAATATGTGTTTATGTGTGTCTGAGTGTATGGATGTATCCCATTTGAATATAGGAGCCAGAGGACATCAGGAGACGGTGTCGGGTATCCATGGAACTGAAGTTACAGGCAGTTGTGAGCCACTGTGTGGGTACTGGGAACCAAACCCAGGTTAATTTAAGTTGATTAATTTTTTTTTAAAGAATTATTTATTTATTTTATGAGTACTCTGTAGCTATCTTCAGATACACCAGAAGAGGGCATCGGATCTCATTACAGATGGTTTTGAGCCACCATGTGGTTGCTGGGAATTGAACTCAGGACCTCTGGAAGAACAATCAGTGCTCTTAACCTCTAAGCCATCTCTCCAGCCCTAAGTTGATTAATTTTAAGGAACACTCTGATACAATCACATGGCCACTTTAGAAAGATCTCTGCTGTTGAGATAATTTGTAAGTGACACTGTAATGCAGGGGATTCGTCAAAAGGTTTCAGCATCATAAGAAAAAAGGGGTTGGTGAATCTCTAAACTAAGATAGCAAGAGAAGAGAGAGAGAGAAAGAAAGGATTCAGTAACTAAGACAAGTAAGTCTGGTTATTGATTTTTCTCTGCATGATTGAGAAATGGTGGGAGAATATATGATTTAGGTAAGCAGGATGGCAGGATGGTAGGAATATGAGCCAAGAAGAGAGAGACCTTAAGAAGAAAAACGGGTCACAGAGAGCAGGACCGTAGTTTAATTTTAAACCTACTGAGGTGAAGTGCCCATGGAATATCCAAGCGAAGCTGGGTGCTGCTTACCAGAGGAAGCTGAAACTCAGGAGACATCTGTGTTAGAGTCATCAGAGTAAGTGAGAGTCTATAGTTGCACATGGGATCCCCCAAAAGAGAGAGTGTAGAGGACAGGAGGAGTCATGGCAACACCACTGAAGGGGGTGAAGAAGGGAGAGTGTTAGGGAGATAGTGGGACAGAACAGAAGTAAGAAGCAACGAGGAGCTGTAGATGTCAGGCGAGTGTGTAGATGCTTTGGGAGGACCAGAGAGTTGAAGATAAATGAGGACTGAAAAGCCCTTGTGTTTAGCAACAGAGGTCATCTGTGTATTTGGCAAAAAGCATGTCAGTAAATGGGGAAGAGTCACTGGTCTGCTATGGATTTAGGGGACATGAGAACAGAGGAAGTAGCTGGAGGAAGTTCTCTCAGATAGGAAGGACTAAAGGGCACATCGAGAGGGAGATGAAGGTATTAAGAAGAGAGTGTTTGAATTTATGACCTGTAAGGCTAACGATATATAGTAAAAAGAAAAGAGAAAGAAAGAAAGAGAGAAAGAAAGAAAGAAAGAAAGAAAGAAAGAAAGAAAGAAAGAAAGAAAGCTCCAAACCAGCATCCTCTCTCTATGTTCATACTATGGCTTTCTTAAAAAAAAAAATTAAAGACATGAGTCTCATTTATGTGTCCTTGAGCTGGCCTCAAAGTTGTGATCTTCCTGTTTCAGTCTCTTGAGTGTTGAGATTACACATATGTGCCATCTTCCCTGGCTCTAAAGCAGGGGTTCTCAACCTTCCTGATGCTGTGACTCTTTAATTCAGTTCCTCATGTATCCCCAAACCATAATATTAATTTCATTGCTACTTCATAAATGTACTTTTGTTACTGTTAGGAATTGTACTATAAATATCTGGTATTTCTCAAGGTCTTAGGCAACACCCGTGAAAGAGTCATCCAACATCCAAAAAGATCACAGCCCACAGATTGAGAACCACTGCTCTAGTAGTGTTTTCTTGTTTCCATGATTGTTCTTGTTCTTTCCAGCACACCTAGACCAGTGATTCAAGCCAGGTGTCATGAGACACAAATCACAGCATAACATATGGTTCTCTTCTTAGAATCCTTCCTTATCATCTGCACACACTTGGGATATAGTCCAGGATCCTGTTCTGGCATCCCATGCCCTGTGTGGCATCCTAGACCAGCTCTCCAATTCAATGTCCTTTTACTTTCTCATGTTCCAGCTCTACTAAGCTCTAGCCATTTTCTTTTCCTGGGATACTCTTCCAATCCTTCTGGTTTTTCTTTGAACATCATCTTCTTTTCCTTCCTCTACCTGATGTATCCTTTCCTATCCCCCTTCTAATCTCCATGGGCAGTTTTTCACTGTAATATATGAAAGCCACTCCACCATTTGCTTTATTTTTGTATAGTTGAGAGCTTATAAACTGAAAACTCAGTGGAGATTCTTGCCACATAGTTGAAGCTTAACACTGTCCACTGGGTGTGTATAGAGAGGAAAGGGAGGGGCAGATTAATAGGCAGTGGAGAGACCAAGAGCCACCTTCCAGAGGCAGGTATTGTGGCACACACCTGTGATCCTACCATTCAGGAAGGTGATGTCAGAGGATCACAAGTTTAAGGCCAATCTGGGCTGTATAGTGAAACTCTTGTCTCAAAAAGAAAAAGCAAGTCAGTATCTAATTTGTTGAGGAATGACCATTGATGATGACATGCTAGGCTTTTAGGGTTTCAAAAGCAGAAGAGTTTACAGCTCTGTTACCCTGGGCATTGACAGTCTCTGAACCTCACATTGTACTTAGAGATATTCTGTGCTTCAGTGGGCTGTTAGGGGAATGAAATCAGAAGGTATAGGTAGACAGTGAAGAGATCTTGTCAAGCTCTTTTTAGGAAGTCAGGAATTCTAAGGGTCAGTCCATAATTTCCAAATGTGAGTCCCCTGTCATATAACTTTTGATATTTACTTATTATTAGAATAAGAAAGAGAGAAGCCATTGAGATGACTCAGTGATTAAAGTCACTTGCTCCCAAGCCTTATGACCTGAGTTTGATTCAGTACCCACACAGTAGAAGGAGAGAACCAACTCCTATAAGTCATCCTCTGATATTCGTACACATGCCACAACTCAAGTTTGGTTTCCTCCCCAACAAACACGCAAATAACTAAGTGTATTATAAAACACAACAAAATTGTGACTTCAAAAACATGGTCTACTGCTATAGAACCATTTCTAACTGAACCTAGAAGTTAGTTATTTCAGACAAAATCAGTAACCAACCCAAGCTCTAAAGGTAGGCAAAATATATGGCAAACAGATTGAAACCAAAGAAATACAAAAGAAATTTAAAGTATGTTAGAATATCCCCTTGCTTTCTCAACACAGGAAGCATGCCCATTGCAAATGCAGTGAGATAAATTTTCAAATATCTGGTGGTCTGGGCAGATGGAGAAGTGGCCATGTTCTTAGTAAGTGGAAGGGCAATGACCTCTGTGGAGGGCGTCCTGGCAGTTTTTATTACTTCTCAAACATACAAAATGCTTGCCCTCACAAGTCTACTTCTATATCTTTACCCAAGATAAATTCACACATATTGAAATATTCACACATATATTGAAAGATGACTCCTCCAGAACCTTCATCAAAGCATTGTTTATAGTCATTAATAAGACCGAAAAAGCCATCAATAGAGAAGTGGTTATATACAGATCACAGTGGTGTTAGGAGGGAGAGGTAGGCAGCTATTAAAGTTTGTGAGACACTGCTGCCAAGGACCAGCCTCAGTTTGGAGAGGTGTCCTGAGAGAAGGGGTGTTTAGAAGGCTTCAAAACAAATGACTCGGAGTCCATCGTGGGTACAAGCTGATGGCCTGTGTTCTGCTCGAGACAGCTTTCTCCAGAGATCTCCACACAGCTCATCCAGATAGCTTTGCTCTTGCAGACCAAGGCTGTCTTTTATTTACATATCAATTCAGTCATTTACCCCAATCCCTTGTATTTATCCCTGAAATCAGCATTCCATGACCCTAGCTCCCTGATTCTTAGGAAATGACAGCAAGCATTTTTTTT